GAGCCGAGGGAGGGCCTCGTGGCTTCCGACCCTCCCCCGGCGAGCTTTTTGACAGCTGGTGGTTTTGGCAGGCTGGGCTCCCGTCAGGCACCATTTTGTCTTCGATTGAGAGTCCAGGGTCCCCCCTGCGGGCGCGAGAAGAATCGCGCTTCGCGCGCCGCGGTCTGGGTCAGAGCGGCCGCCCTCCTCTCGGGCGGGGGGCGGGGGCGCGGGCGCGGAGCTGGCCGCGTGTCGCTCGAGGCGCCGCAGGCATGGAGGGAGGCGCAAGGATCAGTGACCGCATGTGACGGGTCCCGTTTCATGGAGTAGGGGGCCGACTGCAGCGTCGATCTACCCCGAGTGTGATTGGCCCCTTCGAGTCTACGAAAGGCACGCAGGATGCCCCGCAGATCTGCGGAGCCCCGTCGGAATCTTCCGCAGACTCGACGGAACATCAGCTTTGGGGCAGATCCATCCTGCAGCTGGTCCCCGGCTCCAGCACTCCCCATGCAGCATCAGCGCGCACCGTCGCCGGAGCAGGCGGCCCCGGCGCCACGTCCCGGGGGTCCCGCTCCCCGGTGCGTAGGTTTGGCCCCCGCGCGCCGTGTGCACGGATCCGTCAGCCGTGTGAGCGTGCGCCCCGAGTCGTCCATCACGTGGGCGCGGTGCACGAAGTCTGGTGACCTCGAGGCGTCGCCCAGGCTCCCCCTCGAGGTGACCCTCCATGTCTGTCGTTGGCTCGAGGCTCCATGCTTTCTCGGGCTCCTGCCTGCAGCTCGGCAGCGAAGAGGGCGGGTCCCGAGAGGCCCACAGCCAGCAGAGTTTGGATGATGAGCACTCCGCATGTGCCACTTCTCCAGTGGTGGACTCGCCTGGAGACAAATCTGAGACGTAGGTTGCAGAATCCACAAGACAAGGGCCATGTGCACTTGGGCGCTGGCCGAAACGGGAGGATAGGACGAGGCGGGAGGAGGAGTTTGAGGAGGAGGAGGAGGAGGAGGAGGAGGAGGAGGAGGAGGAGGAGGAGGAGGAGGAGGAGGAGGAGTTTGGAGGAGTTTGAGGAGAGGAGGAGGAGGAGGGAGGAGGAGGGAGGAGGAGTGAGGAGGAGGAGGAGGAGGAGGAGGAGAGGAGGAGGAGGAGTTTTAGGAGGCGGAGGAGGAGGAGGAGGACTAGGACTAGGAGGAGTTTGAGGAGGGAGTTTGAGGAGGAGGAGGACTAGGAGGAGGAGGAGGACGGAGGAAGGAGGGAAGGAGGAGGAGGAGGAGAGAGGAGGAGGAGTTGAGGAGGAGGAGGACGAAGGACGTTGGAGGAGGAGAGCCTCCCAGGGGCTTGGCGGCCCTTCTCCCATCGACCTGCGGGCATCGCGCCACACGGCGTCGACGCGCCGGGGGCGTGGCCCGATGCCACCCCGCGGCGCGGGCCGAAGCCTCGGCCGCCTGGAAGGAGCCTCAGCTGGAGCGCGCTGCTGCGGCCAGCGCCTCCCGGGGGAGCGCGCGCCGACCTCGGCGCCAGGGCCGGGGGCCCCGGAGGAGGAGGAGGAGGAGGAGGAGGAGGAGGAGGAGGAGGAGAGGAGGAGGAGGAGGAGGAGGAGGAGGGGGAGGAGGAGGAGGAGGAGGAGGAGGATGAGGAGAGGAGGGGGGGAGGAGGAGGGGGAGGAGGGGCCCCAGAGGGGGGCCCCGGCCCCGCGTGTGCTCCCCCGCCCTTTCGTCGCCCCTGCGAGCAGCGCCGAGGTCGAGAACCGATGCCCGTGCGCACTCGCTTCCGGGTTGGGCTTCCAGGGGGTGACTCCTCCAAGCAGGCGAACGCAAACACGGATCAAGGGGGCGCGGATTAGCGACGGGTCCCATTTCCATGAGAAATCGCGGATCTCCGCCGCCGAACGAGGCGGCACCGGCCGCATGTTGGGGAGGGCACCTCACCCGATCCATGTTTGCGCGTCCCCGATCCACCTGGAAGAGCCATTCCGCACGCCTCTTCTCCGCCGCCTCCTCAGCAGCCTCCTGCTCGTCCGACGCTACTGCCTTGTGGCCATCTTCCGAATTCACAGAGAGTGCTCGGCCTGGTACCGACGTGCTTTCGATGTTGTGGCCGATCTGCTCTATGTATGTGCCCGCAGCTTTGTAGGCTGCTTCGTGCTCCAGTGTTCATCTGCTTGGCGTGCTGCCAAAGCGATTTGGAATTTCGATGAAGAGGGCCTCTGGTTTCACAACGTGCGCACTGACAGTGTTTCTCAGATGGTCCATCCTCCGGGAGTAATGCAAGTACATTGTGTAGTGTTGCTTGTCGGCCGTTTGCAGATCATGAGGGGCCCATAAACGGCAGATGCGATTACAATCCAACATAATCCGATAGCCCTTATAACGGCGACGATGGAACACAGTGCCGGGGAACTGCTTTGAACATCACCAGTCGTTCAAAGCAGTGCCCCGGCACTGCTTTGAACGATGCGGAAATGCGATCAGCAGGAGCCTTCGTCTGTTCCTTCTCCTCTTCACGTCGCTGTATGCTCTTCCTTGTCCTCCCTCCTCCCCCGTTCCCTCTCTAATTAATTACCTCGTTCTCCCAGTCTCACGCGCACTCTTCCTCCCCCCTCTCCTCCTCCTCTTCCTGCTTCTCCTCCTCGTCCTCCTCCTCCTCCGCCTCCTCCCCCTCATTTGTTATATTTCTCCGTCCTTGTCCTCCTGTCCCCGTTCTCCTTCTCCCTCTCCTCCTCCTCCTCCTCCTCGTCGTCGTCGTCCTCCTCCTCTTCCTCCTCCTCCTCCTCCTCCTCCTCCTCTTCCTCCTCCTCCTCCTCCTCCTCCTCCTCCTCCCCTTCTTCCTCCTCCTCCTCCTCCCCCTTTTCCTCTCCCTCCTCCTCCTCCTCCTCCTCCTCCCCCTTCCCCCTCTTCCTCCTCTGCTATCACTCCTCCATAATTCCTGTCCGCTCCTCCCCTTCACTGATCTTCCTCTTCGTCATCATCATCCCTTTCGTCGCACGCCTCTTAATCCTCAATCGGTTCCCAATCTTCTCGACTTTCTTGTCATCCGCGTCCTTGGCTGTTGGAGGGGCCTCAGGAATTCTCAGGGCTCTTGTGTTGCACGCGAAGGCACACCTCCCAGGAACGCATCATCCTCCTCACATTCACCCTCCTCCTCCTCATCCTCCTCCTCCATGCACGTTCGGCTCAAGCCCGCGCCGACGGTAGGTTTCACGGCGGTTGGGCGGGCTCGCGCCCGCCTCCGCGGCCTGCAGTCGGGGCAGAGATGCGTGCAGGGTGGGATGACAAAGCGGAAGAGGAAACACGGGCCGCAGTTGCGGATTCTTCAAAGAGCAGCGGCGGCGGTTGGGGAACAAGTGGGGGTTGGGGCGGCCGCAGTGGCGGATACGGCGGCGGAGGTGACCGCAGTGGCGGCTGGGGCGGCGGAGATTCTCTTGGCGGATGGAGAGGAAAAGCGCAGGATGGCGGCGACGGAAGTGACCGCAGTCGCGGATGGGAGGGCGGCGGATGGGGCGGCAACGGATGCGAGGGTTGGGGAATGGAGGGCGCCCGCTGGTGGGACGACGAGGGTGGCTGGTGGAATGCATGGGAAGGTGGCCGCTCGAGTGCCTCGGCAGGTTCTCCTGCCGCGGAGCCCGCGGCCGCAACAGCGGCGGGCAAAGGAGGCGGTCCCCTGCTTCCCCCAGGGCGCGAAGAACAAGGCGCAGTTGCGCTGTTTCAAATTGTGCGCAATGAGCCGCTGCCAATTTTCAAGTTGGAATTCTTCGAGAACTTCAGGGCGAACTGGAACGGCAATTATAAGCAGCACAACGCGGCCTTGAAGTGGTTCCGAGACGAGTACGAAGACCGAGAAAACCCTTTCGGCAGCCGCACGCCCGTCTTCGGAGGTACCGCAGTTGCGGAGGAAATTTCGAAGATCCTTAAGTACCGCGCAAAGGGGAAGGCGCAGGACAACAGGGATTGGGACTGGGACCACACTGTCAAAGTGCCGTGGTCTTGGCTGGAGATGGTCGCGCAGATGGATGGACCTACAATGCTGCGCGTCGTGTGCGGCCCTGACAATGACCGCAGTCGCGGGTTGGTCCGCTGCGAGTGCCGCCCGTGCCCTAGCAGTCTCGACAACATGAGGCACACGAAAGGGGTGGACAGAGGACAGGCGCAAAGAATCCCTCTGCCCCAGTGGGATTTCGTCCTCATCCGCGACGACGGCTCGGGCATTCGCGTCCACCCATCCTGGTCTAGCCCGAAGTTCAACACGTATGAGGTGGAGCCGCACTCGCATCCCGTGCGGGGCCCGAGGGCAGGTCTCGGCAAGAGCGATGGCCACGGAACGTTCACGTTCTGGAAGATGCTGCACGCCCATCCGAATCCTGGGCGGTTCGACGCGAGCAAGGGGGCGCAGCTGCAACCGCGGTGGTCCGCGCAGCCTTGACACCGCAGTTGCGGGATTGCGCAGCCATGGAACCGCAGTTGCGGGGACCGATCGCGTGACGCCGCGCTCGTTTGACTCACTATGCGCGCTTTCGGCCGCAGTTGCGGCGCTGCCTTCTAGCGACTTCATACAGCTTGGCCGCAGTTGCGGCGCTCCCACGACTGACCGCTGTAATTAGGTGCTTCGGGCGCGCATCACCTCCGTTGAAGCACTCGTGACGTTAATTAGCGCGGCCGCAGTTGCGGAGACAGGTACTTAAACAGATGGATCCGCAGTTGTTCGTCGTCCTCGTCGCCCCTTCCCCGTCGTCCTCGTCGCAGTCTCCTCCCTCCGCCTTTCCTCCTCGTCGCAGTTCCTTCCGTTGGCCGTAGCCCGCCTCCGTTGGCCGAGTCATTTCCCGTCGTCCTCGTCGCAGTCCCCCCCGAGGGCCGCAGTTGCGGACTTTGTTGATTCCTCCTCCTCCGTTTCTGCCCCGTCATCCTCGTCGCAGTCCCCTTGCTCCTTTCACCCTCGTCTGAGCTCTTCGCGCCATCCTCTTCCGTCGCGTCCTCTCCATCCTCCTCTTCGCCTTCCTCGTCCTCATCCCCGCCGTCTCCCTCGTTGTCCTTCCT